CTCGTGGTAACTGTCTGGCTAGTTCCAAACTGCTGTGCCTGACGATTGCACTGTGAATATTTTTGCTTGATAAATAATGACACTGAGACCCAAGGGTAGAGCTCTCATCTTATAGAAAGTTACTTAAAGGAAAAATAAAATAAAAGGAAAAGAACAAAGGAAGAATGGGGAGGGAGGAGAAGGAAAGAAAAAGGCTTGTCAATTTCTCTTGGCTTAGGTGCCTGACACACCCCTCCCCCCAAGTTGTCCACAACCCAGAGAACACAACTGGAGCACAATAATCAACGTAGTTTTAGAGTCCCGAGGCAGGCAAGTTCCAGCACTGGTTAGTGACTGATTTTAGAGACCACGTGGTTCAAGCCTTCCTTTCATAGAAAACAGAGGTTTCTGATGGGACCCCCGTTAAGCTCACTGAGTAAGCGCAGGCAGCGGAGCCCTGCAGAATAGACAAGCCCTGGCAGCTCTTCGTTATCCAGGCTGGAGCCAGGCACAGGAGTACTGCTCCAGATTCTGTCCAAGTCAAGAGTCAAGACTCAGCTTCCATGTGCTGCGGTCTGCAGCAGGTGTCAGGGCTCAGAGAGGGAGGAGACAGCCTGCTTCATGGTGGCTTTGAAATACCACCTGGGTAGGGGCTGAGTGAGATAAAGGGCTCAGCTTCCCCCTGGTGCACTGATGCCCCTGCTGGGAGCAGTCACTCTCTGATAAACAAACATCTCCAATTAACCTCACTGTCCTTCACACCCCAGGGATAGTTGGGAAGCTGCACTTGATGAACTTGGCAGCAGGACTTGGCAGTCACTTTCCATAGTCCAGCTCATTAACTGAAATGAAGCAGGTTTCAGTGTCTCCACAGGAGGCAATGTGAAGATGTCAATTCAACGACTATGTCCCTTTAATTACATGAAATGAAACTCATTGTCTTGTCAATGCACATCAGAAAAATGCACAACTGGAGGGAACTGAAAATGTCTCATTATCTATGCCTTGAGTATCGGTTTAAAACCACTTTGGGGTGTGTCTATAGATGAAAGAATTCAAACATCTGGGCTGTTTCACAAGGAGACTATGGGCATTTATTTGGGGCTTACTCCTTATTTTAGGGGATTTGTGATCTCTTAAGAGGTGGGAGGACTCAGTTTCCTTGAAAGGTGTAGTAGGAATTAAGGAACGTGCTGTCAGCTATTGCTGACTCCTGAGGGGAACACTTCCCTTCTTGGAACATGCTATTCCTAGAAGCCTTGAATTTCACCTGCTAACAGGTGCAGCTGCTGAAGCTGCCCAATTCATGGCTTTGGTAGGAACTGATGGGCTCCCCCATTGGCCTTCCATCAGCCTCCTTGGAGCTTGACAGCACATGCAGAAGGGCCCATAACCCATTCCCTGGAGTCCCATCTCCCCCCCTGAGTTATATAGATGCTTGTCTCCAACATAACGAGCCTAAGGATGCAGCCTGGAGTTCCCAGTGGCCCCGGAGGGCTCAAAACCTCTCAGCTCATGCAGGGCAACCTCTTGCTGAAAATCCCTTTGCACACCAGCCATGGCACTGCTCCCACCTTACCTCAGAAGGCTGCTTTCAGACTTCTAGGAGGGAGCCTGTGGCTGCAGAAAACTTCTCAGCACTCCGACCTGCAGCTTCTATGCCATTCCAACCATCTGGGACATCTTTCTCCAGCGAAAAGAGAAAAAGAACAGGGTAAAAATTGGGATGAAGAAGACAAACCCCCAACAATGTTCGGTTGGGGATTCTTAGAAACAAGGCCACTTACGTTGCAGCTGGCTTCCCCTGGGGCAGAAGGCAATGGCTGATAAAGGTCTACAGGGCTTTCTGAGGAGGGCAAGTGCCTCAGAAGAGATAGCGCCCCGAGAAGGGACAGCACCCAACACTTTATACCCACAGCCCCACTCTGCATATCCGTGCCCTGGGCTTTCCCCTCCCACTTCAGGCACTGGTGCCAAAGCAATGCCGGGGAACTGGTCCCCTGGCTGCCGGACTTGCAGTCTCTCTGTGTTGATCAGTTGCCAAAAGTTGCTTTGTCATGGTTTCCAAGGCTTCATCGTGAGGTCTCTGGCCAGGGACATCCTATTCACATTCATCTTTTTTTTTTTTTCTTCTTGTCCAAGCTGTTTCCTCCAGTCCTCTCTCTCACTCTGAAATAAATGTGGAAAGATTTGTAATCCAAAGGGATCCACGCAGTGACCCTTGGAAAGGCAGAGTGATCTGAGGAGCTAAGTGAATTTTGCTAGATCGGACACACTTTTTTGTACAGTTCTAAGATGCTAGCGAGGTCCCCGGGGAATTGAGCCAGCATAAGGAGTCTGTAGTCTGCAAACTGGCTGTGCCTTTGTTTGCCCTAGCCTGCCGTGCGCCTCTTCGCAGGTGACAATCCCCAGACAGGTTCTCCTCCCTTCCGAGTTTAGGAGGCAAACGATTCATAGCAAGAGAATCTCACGTTGAAATAAAAACGCCTTGTTTCCCCATTCTTAGTATATTTACTTTTTTTTTTTTTTCTGTGACTTGCTCTGATGGGGCAGAAGTCGAACTGACTCAGGTGCCTGTCCACAAACACAGGCATTAAAAAAAGAAGCAGCCAATGAGCAGATGGCATCAGATCGATCCTCCCTTCAGCAGACCCCGCCCTCTCGGCCTGCACGTGCGTCTCCACCCCCACCTCCTGGGTGGCTTCGCCCTTCGCCTCTGGTGGCTTCGCCCTTCGCCTCTGGACGTTTGGCTCGCCCTGATTCAGCTCCCGGGATGCGGTTTGGGACTCGCAGGCTCCACCCGCAGGACACTCGCCAGACCGCAGCACTCTTGGTCCCCTGGGTAGGTCTTCCAGACAAGGCTCAGCCCCTTTGTGTTTGGGGCCTGGGAGAAGGTCCATGGGTTCAGGTTTGTGGTGGGTTTTGAGGTGCAGGCAGAGCTCCCTCTGACACTTCTTTCCTGTAAAGTAAGGGGAAAACAAACTAGGGCTAGCAGGAAGGAGAAAGTGAGCTGCAAACAAGGCGTGAGGGTATGCTATGGGAAAGAAAGGAATTACATCGATGAAGCGAGGAGTTTCCTAGGTACCTTGGCCATGACTCCTCATTATCCTAATGATAACGGTAAGGACACTCTTGATACTGGTGAGAAACGCCCTTGGGGGCCGAGTGCCCGCTTGTCCGCCAGCCTTGCTGGACACTGTTTACCATCACACAGTTTCCTGGCCCTCTTCCTCACCAGCTGTGTGATCTCAGGTACACTGCTCACCCTCTCTGAACCCTGGCTTCCCTGGGTAGAGGGTATTTGCTGCTTTTGACGAGGCAATGAGGAGGACTGACACAAGAGGAATGATGCCTGGCATGTGAGGGTTGCTCTTCTCAATCAGCATCAGTTTGTCCAGAGAAACCCTTCTCCTTGGCCTTGACGTCGGAAGGGTGAAGCGAGGGGGTGGCTGGTGCAGGACTATGCAGGTTCTCATTCTGGAAGAGCCCGAGACACTGGGGTTTGGAACCCGCTGGTGGGTGTGGCTTTGGGGAGATCGGAAACAGTTGAACACTCAGACCCGAGTGCTCTTGTCTTTTCTTAAAAATATTTTCGCTTGGCTTCAGCAGCTGGCGCCATCTTCACTAGGACTAGGCATGTAAACAGGAACCTTGGCTCCATCGGCTGCTTTTGGCTGGTGCGTGGGGTGCACAGCCTGGCCCAGCTGTTTTAGCAGTGGGCGCCATCTTCACTAGGACAGCCAGAGCGCCTATCGGGATGAGCTCTGGGAATATGGGGGTGAAGAATTACTCCCTAGGGACATTCATGGATAAGGGCACCATACATGTAGGTGAGGAATGAATCCTGAGGGACTCCCAATGACAGGGCCACTGTACTTGCAGGTAAGTAAGAGGGGACTGGAACCTGGTGGGGAAGGGCCATGAGATCTGTATGGGTCAGACCAATGCACCAGCCCACATGTGAACCCTGAGATGGGCCGGTAAGCCCATCTGACCACCACATGCCAACCCACACAAAAGCTAGGGTTGGGGACCTGACTTGTAGGGCTAGATCCCAGTACCTGACTGAGTATTGGAACAGGGCACAGGTCACATTAGGCAGGGCCATGACACTAATCAGCACACTAGAAAACCAGGTCTGGGGGTAGATTCTGTGGGGGATAAGTAGGCTCAACCCTGTGGAAATACAAGTTCTGCTGGTTAGCTCAAGAGTTGGGGTGGTGATAGACTGAGCTTGCTGTGACCATGGAACCTGTCAACACTCATGGGTCCTGGGGCCAAAAATAGGCTGGGCAGGTCCAGGCTGCAGCACCCACAAGTGCATCCTAAACAGGGTGTGGGGCAGCCCAACAAAGGCCAAAATGAAGGGACAGGATATGCTGGGCAAGGGCCTAGCACCCACTGGCATGCATGAGATCTGGGTCTGGGAGTGGGCTGAGTGGGGAAGCTTGGGAAACTTCCCTATTGGGTCATAGCTCCAGCTGGTGAGCACATGGTACAGGCCTGGGGGTTGGGCAAGCTAAGCAAGGTAGCTACATCAATTGGCAAGTGTGTAGGTTGGTTTGGAAGAGGGTGGAGAGACAGAGAGAAAGATCTTTCATGCATTGATTCACTCACCAAGTGACCCGAGTTGTGCCAATCTGAAGCCAGGAGCCTGGAGGCTCATTCAGGTCTCCCATGCAAGTGCAGGATCCCAAGGCTTTGGGCCGTCCTCTACTGCTTTCCCAGGCCACAAGCAGGGAGCTGGATGGGAACCGGGGTCACCGGTATTAGAACTGGCGTCCATATGGGATCCTGAGGAGTGCAAGGTGAGGACTTTAGTCAATATGCTACCATGCTGGGCCCTACAGGCAGCTTTTAAAATGAACAATTTGCCAGTGTGTATGACTGGGCAGTTCCCACACCCAGGAACTCTGCAAGAGAAGAATGCCAAGAGGACCTCTTTGGCACCCTGGGCATGGCTTTCTAGAGAAAGAACTCTTCTGGGCCTCCCCATTCCCCAGCTCCTGCCCCCAGGATAGAGAACTGCAAAGACCACATGCCTGGGACAGCCATTCCTCTGCAGTGTGTTCTGAATGTGTGGAGACTTGTTTGGTCTACAAACAGGCACCAGATGAAAACCCAGACTCTTACTGAGTGGGGCTGGCTCCAAGCCCTAAGTGCGCTGGGTTTCTGCCTGTAGCATTCAAAATACTGTAATCTCAAAAGTATTATAATATACAACTTTCACTTATTTGTGTACTTTATACTTTGTAAAATACAACAGGTAATCTATTAATGTTAAATATTACAATACATATAATGTACATCAGTATGTTGTATCTTTCAAGAAGTTTTTTAAACTGTGCAGCGGAAGGACTGTGAATTACAACAGTAAATACCATAATGATAGGTACATTTTGACCAGCAAAGTAATGGTTTCACAGATCCTAACAAATATCTAATTTTGGTTACTGACAACTGTGGTGCCCACAGACAGCTCAATGTCCTGTCTGAGTAGATGGGGAAAATTTAGAGGTCACAGTCCCAGAGGGTAACTAATAAACCTTACTGGAACCTCCAGCCACAGACTGCAGTGTCCTGGAAAACAGAGTGGCAAATGTCATGCCCTCCTAGATGCTTGGTTTTCATGCTTGATAACATTCCCTAAAACTCCAACAAATGGGTGTCATCTAACCTTTGTCACCCACGAAACGTTGATGCGAAAGGGTCAAGAGTCCCAAAGCTGGCCAAGTCACAAGGTCATGGATTTAATTCAGAATGTGGATTTGTTTGCTATATTTTATTAGCTGAGGATTTTATGCCTTCAGTATAAATACAAATTGAGGTCCAAAGACTCAAAAGTGTCAATGTGCAAGTAATAAAAGCCTTTAGGTTGGCACTAAAATATATTGGTAGTACAGAAAGTAGTCAGCTGCCAAATTCTATGATTGAAACCCTTCTTTCACTTAACAACAGATTTCTGTCTTTGCTATCTAAATGCTTGGATCTTCACACAGCATGAATCCGCTTCTCAGCCAGTACGTCACTCCTGACCTGTGTATTTTCACCACCAGCATAAATCTCAGATTCCTTTTGGCTCGGAAGAAGTTGCCAGGATGGTCCTTGCTGCTGTTTGGCATCGACTTACATTTCCTCATGGTCCACTACGTGATGGATGACGCTATCAAAGAAATACTGTGAAGAAAATATGCCAAGCAGTAAAAGGGCATTTGTGGATAAGACATTCCTCCTCTCGACATGCATACCCCCAAAGAATGCTCCCGGAAACCTGAAACAAGATACTCAAGACCCCAATTCAGTTTAGGCGTCTGGAGACCTAACAGGAAAACAATGAAGTGTGTCTATAGTACAGATACATGTAGCATTACAATGTGAGCTCAAGTACGGTATAGGCTTTTGCAATTCCATTTTGATCAGTTTGATAATTTTGGTCTCATCTTCCTTAACATGTTTGAAGGGGTCAACCCAGTAGCCATGTATTTTCGATTTTGTGCTTGAGGATTCTAAAGCAAGGTTGTGTATCATCCTCTCCCTGTAAGAATCTTGCTAATCCTCATGAAGTGTAAAAGATTTCTACTTGATTGTGTTGGGGTACCTACGCATTTAACCTCTAAATGTAAGCACAAGTGCTTAGGAGGGCAGGACCGTTTTTCTTCTTTGATCTTAGTGGCTGGAAATCTACCTACCTGAAGTGTCAATGAAGGTCTTGGAAAGCTTCACTTCACTTGGGAATTTCATGAACTGACATCAAGCCCCAAATTCCCAACCATTATGGGCTTCAGGCTCTTTCTGGCTTTCATCTGTAGCGCCACACAGCTTTTCTTATAAGGTGCTTTCAAAGAAGCTAGTTCCCTATCTGGTGCAAACTCTGGCAGTAGCTTCTGCTGTGCTAGATTTCACAACCCAAAGTTCTCGTGACACTGAATTTGTTGTTTGGAGCAGTTATACTATCTCCTAATTCTCACCATATAAATTTGACCATTTGCATGACTATAAGTTAATAGGCATTGAAAAAATTTTAGAGTATTTGCAATTGAAAACATTAACCAATTTTCTTCTCTTTGTGTGGGATTGGCGTCTTCTGCAGCTTGCCTTTCAGTACTTTGGTATTGCAAGTGCTTTGATTTGTCACGTTTCACTTTCATTCTATTTTTTTTCTTTCCATAGATTCATTAAACTCCTCCAATCTTCCATTATATTAACACAAGCTATACAAAGTCTGCCCTATTCTCTTTTCAACATTTCATTTAATGTTTTCAAGCACTTTGAAACAAAACGAAACAAAGAAGAACCCTTTGCAAGGTGATTTTAATTTAAAATAAAGTTCTTACACTGAAATGCTTCCTCCCAACTCTACATTACTGCCTACATTGGAGAATAAACTTGTCAGCTGTGCATTGTGGATGTCTGACAGCTGCTCATCTTCTGAAAATATTCGTCCACCCAACACCCCTCAACTGGCTAACATCTGTTCTACCTCACTTCAATGATTTTTGAAACTTTTTACAGATGTGGCTG